CAGAGTGAGACTCCAACTCAAAAAAAAAAAAAAAAGAAGAAGAAGAAGTGTGTGGAGTATATGAGCATCAGTTTGGAAATGCTCTATCTGCTCAGAAATGAGGTGAGGTTGGAATGCAGTGAGACTGTCCTTGGATGGCTCCCATGAGGATTTGAAAGCAGTTCCCAGGGGGGCAGCATTGCTGGAACCCCGAAGTGAGTGTCTGGCCAACTCACGATATGTGCATTCTGGTGCAGATATTAGCATGTTACTTATGTGTCATATGCGCCCTCGACACCGCTGCTCTCTGTGAGGTCTGATGCAGAGCCCATCTGCACCCTCTGTTCTTCCACATCCCTGTGCTTTGCTACCTTCCTTTTCTCCAGTTCTCTGTCCCCAGGTCCTCTGCTCTGCGACTCTGGTTGACACTCTGAGTCCTGCTCCTGCCTGGCTTCCTCACTACATTGTGACCCCCACATCTGCAATGGTGTGAGCTGGGCACACAGGAGCCCTCAACAGGCGCATCTGATGAAATGGCACATACCCAAGCCCTCTCGTGACAGGCCAGCTCTGGGTCACTCTGAGGGCTTCTAGAGGACCCCAGCTTGGGGGAGGAATTCCTGTGTTGTAACACTTATCTTTTGGCTGGAGGTGCCTGAGACTTTGGGAGAGTGTCAAGGCTTTGGGATTGAGGCCACATATCCAGGTACCCTGTTGGTCACGTGTGATCTGTGCCCAGGCCCAGGCCAAGGCTATGATGGGGAGGAGAGAGCAGTGAGTGACAGCTTCGGGCCTGGAGAGTGGGATGACCGGAAAGTCCGCCACACCTTCATCCGAAAGGTGAGATATGGGCTGGGAAGTAGGTGTACCTGGGCCCCTCAGGCTGTGGGGGGAGGGGGAGGGGCGGACCACATTAGCTCTGGGCGCTCATTCCCATGTAGTATGGTGGCTGCCTGCCTCTTTATAGCCCTGCACGCCCCTCAGAGGGGGTCCCCAGCTCCTCTAATCTGTGTTCTCCCTCCGTTTGCTCTCCACTTCTTGACCTTCCTTTGGGAGGGCAGATTCAGTCTGGAAGAATCTCCTAGGTGGGCTCTGCCAAAGTGTTGGGCCTTCCCCAGCCGTCGTTCTCCCATTAGACTATAGGCAACTTGGAGCCAGAAATGATCATACTTTCCCCATCTCACGGGTGCACAGCATGTGCAGACTGAACCACTGGGAGTGCAGAGGCCATACCAGCAGAGGACTGGCAGCGAGGCAGGGTGGGTCGGTAGTCACTGAGGCTGAGGTGGACAGGAGAGAAGTGGCCAATGAACACGGGAGGGGGCTGAGGAAGAAGTGTGTGGAGTGTCTGAGCCAGGCGCCTCACTGGGGTGGCCTCTGGACCAGGATGAGCTGGGGAGGGCTCTCGGTGGGAACAAAGTGAGAGTAGATCCTTCTGAATTAAAAGCAGCCCCCGCTGAAGTGGAAGGATCACCTGAGCCCCTAGCTTGAGGCTGCGGTGGCTGTGAGCATGCTACTGCACTCCAGCCTGGACAACAGAGTGAGACTCTAACTCAAAAAAAAAAAAGTGGCTCCTTCCCACCACTAACAGGAAAGGACGGATCAGGGTTTGGGGATTTGGGGCTTCTTGGTCTTGGGGGCTAGTGGCTTTCCTGGGAGAGGCCAAGGGTGCCGGATGGTGACCCTCGCTCCACCCGTGTTCCAGGTTTACTCCATCATCTCCGTCCAGCTGCTCATCACGGTGGCCATCATTGCCATCTTCACCTTTGTGTAAGTCTCGAGGCCTCCACCTGCTCTCACCAGCCCTGGGGGACTTGGGCTTGGGACTGCCTGCTGGGAGTGTGGGTCATGGTGGGCCCTGCTCTCAGAGCGACTGGGAGTGATTAGAGAAGGAGCCCGAGCTGGTGGAGCCGGGGTGGGGGGGAAGGGGACAGACAAGTCAAAGTGACTCCTCTTGTCCTCCCCTGCCCCACAGGGAACCAGTCAGCACCTTCGTGAGGAGAAACGTGGCCGTCTACTATGTGTCCTAGTGAGTGTGTGCTCCTCTCTGAAGGGGTCAGGGAGAAGGGGGCGGCAGCTTCCATTTCTAGTTGAGCAGCTTTGCTCAGGGCAGGATCAAGATGCTTTTTGAGAGTTTCTCCTTAAGTTGCCAGTGCCAGTTTCCCATGCCAGGGAATGTGGTGTGTGTGCCTACACAAGGGGTAACTGACCTCCAGAACTCATAGGAGTAGGGGCAGGGCACTCTGGTGGTCGCATGCACACTGCACAGTGGTCCTCCTATTCTCTTAGCCTGCCTGCCTTGGCCTCCCTAAACCTCCTTCCTGCCAAGGCCCCGATGTCTCAGTTCCCCCGGCCCGGGTGGTCTCATCCTTGCTTCCTGCTGAGGGCTTCCCCTCAAATGCCCAGACAGCCGTTTGGGCCTCCAATCTGTCGGCTGGTGGCGGGGCTGGGAGTGGGGTAAGGGCAGGTTTGGGTCTATAGACTACTTCCCCATCTCTTTCTCCCCAGTGCTGTCTTCATAGTCACCTACCTGACCCTTGCCTGCTGCCAGGGACCCAGGTAAGTCACAGAGACTTAGATAATGAGAAGGGATGACAGAGCATGGGACCTGGGGCCAAGTGTTTTGAGAAGGAAAGGGATTCCTTATAGCAGTTGAATGGAGACTTACAAGAAATGATGATGATGATGACGACGGCAGTGACCACTGTTCAGGTTTGTACAAAGTACTATGTGTGTGCAGGATCTATGTGGCTGTCATTCTCATAGCAACCCTGCAAGATACGTAGCATTGTAACTATTGGACAAACAGGAAGAACCCAAGGCTCAGAGCTGATATCCTCTCCAGTCACACAGGCAGTGAGTGTGAGAGCTGCAGACAAAGCCGGGTCTTTCTGACTCCACGGTACAGGTCCCTCCCACTGCCCCCTGTGGTCCCTGCATAGAACACCTGAGCAGGTGCCTAAGGCCATGCCGGCCTCCCCGGCTGGAGTCAAGCCTTCTTCCTCCAGCCACAGGAGCCTCGAACACCTGGCCAGCCCCAGGTCACTTATTCAGGGTTTCTCTTTCCCTCAGACGCCGTTTCCCATGGAACATCATCCTGCTGACCCTCTTTGTAAGTCTAGGAGGGGGTGGAGATGCTTAGAGGGAGGGCTGGTCCCAGGGAAGGGATGGGGACACATTTGGGGACACAGTCCTGCCTGTGTCCCCTGCATCCTGAATACCCACTCTTGGGTCTCCTCTGTGACGACCTCTTTCCTACTTGGCCCCGGCTCTGGCAGGCTACCATGGCTGCCCCCCCAGCACCCTGCCTTTCTTTTTAAGTGTTTCATTCACTCTTGTTTCTCTCCTTCCCTCAGACTTTTGCCATGGGCTTCATGACGGGCACCATCTCCAGGTACATCAGGGATGAGCCACCACACTTGGAAGTATGGGGTGTTCCTGGGCTGGCAGTCATGTGCATGGGTAGATTCTGGGCAGGACCCTCTGGAGGTGGTGATTTTGAAGTCATTCAAATGTGGTTTATGCCTCTGGTCTCTCTTAACCCTTCTCCCCCCAGCATGTATCAAACCAAAGCTGTCATCATTGCAATGATCATCACTGCTGTGGTGTCCATTTCAGTCACCATCTTCTGCTTTCAGACTAAGGTGAGGGAACGGAGGGCCCTTCTCTGGTTGCCCCAGCCCTCTTCTTAGCAGACCTGGCCTTTTGGGCTTGGCACTTGAACGGGTGTGGGTGGGCCAGACCCTGTACTCCAGGGGTTTTCCTTAGAGACCTAATCCCCTTCCCCTTAGGTACCTAAAAATGGCTTCCTGTGTCTGTCCTTAGAATGTCATGGTCATTCCCATGCCCCCTACGCGACAGCACTGGGACTCCCTGGTGGGGGAGGCAGAGCGCGTCTGCCTGGGCTGCTAGTTATGGCAGTTGTCTTCAGATGTCTCTGACAGCGCCTCCTTCTCCCTTCCTGGCAGGTGGACTTCACCTCGTGTACAGGCCTCTTCTGTGTCCTGGGAATTGTGCTCATGGTGACTGGGATTGTCACTAGTATTGTGCTGTACTTCAAATATGTGAGTGTCCCAGGAGAGCTGGGGTCAGTGAACTTAGTGCTCAGAGCAAACTTACTGTATGGCGTGGTGTAGCAGGCCCCCTCCCAGGCCCTGCAGGCTTCTGGGCAGGTTCTGACCTCCTGAACCTCTTGACTGGCTAGCAAAGATACCATCATGGAAGCACCATCCTCTTGGGTTAGGGTCTGTTTGGAGACCGGTAGCCCTGGGAGCCATAGCACCTGAAGTCCTGGACAGCATCACCGAGTTCCTATAGGAAGGGGTGGACTAAATCTGACAACTGAGACCAGGTTCTAGGAGGCAGACTGGGAGAGGAACCCAGAGGACCGAGATACGCTTGGGTGGAAGGGACCTTAGGGATTTCTGGTCCAGTTCCTTCTTTTTTTCTCGTCAGCTGGGGCAAGGCACGAGTTCAGAAGGCTGAGGGAGAACGGTGCTGGAGGGGAAGTATGTGGACACGAGGGCTGCCCGCCCACTTTGCCATGGCTGGCTCTGCCCATGGACTCCGTGGGGGTGTCAAGCAGGCAACCCTGTGGGTACTGCCCGATTCAGTCCTCACCAGAGAGGCTGGGGCCTCCCTTCTTCCTTAGCCTACTCTCCCAGGCTGGGCTGCAGAAGCCCCGCTATTGAATGCTGGTCTGTTGAATGCTGACCACGACTGGGGGAAAGATGATGGGGCTCTTGGGCCAGTGCGTGCTGGGTCTGCCCCCTCCAAGCTATAACTCAACCGCTTTCCTTGTTCCAGAAGTATAGTGGACACCTCTGTACCCTGACTCACTGTGGAGATTGGTTAGGCTAAAAGATGCTGTGATCAGTCTTGTATGGCCATTGTAGGATGGCCTCTGCTTTCTCTGCCAAATATATCGGTATTCTTAATTTCTTCCAGGATCTAGAAAGGCAGATTTAGAAAGGCTTCCTAGCTCTACCCACTCTTATGCCAGAATCTCAGGGGGAAGCTGGGGCCTGAGGGCTGGCCTCATCCGTGCTTTGCCAAGGTTTCTAATGCCATACCTGTCCCCATCATCCCCAGGTTTACTGGCTCCACATGCTCTATGCTGCTCTGGGGGCCATCTGTTTCACCCTGGTAAGTTCCTGCTAGGAAAGGGGGCTGAGGGGGCGAATGGGAGGAACTGAGGGGATGGGGCACAAATTTAGACTGCTTGGGAGGCAGGGAGTGGGGCCATAGTTCACCTTTTCCCTCCCTGCTGTCAAGAGGTTCCACCAGCTTCCTGGGCATTCCTATCATACCTTGTCCACACTGCCTGCTATTAGAACACTCAGTAGGCCGTATCATAGAAGAGTGTGTCTGTTTCCTTTGCTAGGCTGAGCTGCTCGCAGGTAGAGCCCATGTGCCATGCTGCTCATCAGCATGTCCCCCAGGCATGGCACAGAGGCTCCCGGGACAAGTCTGCTGACCAGAGGCCAAGCTTTGGCCCTGGATCCCTGGGTTCTCACTTGTCCCTGTCCTTGCAGTTCCTGGCTTACGACACGCAGCTGGTCCTGGGGAACCGGAAGCACACCATCAGCCCAGAGGACTACATCACTGGTGCCCTACAGATTTACACAGACATCGTCTACATCTTCACCTTTGTGCTGCAGCTGGTGGGGGATCGCAATTGAGCAGCGCCCCGTTCTACCCCGCCCTGGGTCTCCCTTCCCTGGGGGCTGGGCCCCGTGACGGCGGTCTGGGCCTCAGGCCCCTGGCCTGCCCCTCAAGTAACGCACCATGTCCTTTCTGTCCGTGGTGGCCTCTGGCTGTGCGTGTGCAGGTACCTGGTGGGGATGAAGGAACTTGGCGGGGACGAGGCTGAAGGTGTGCCTTCTCCCTTCCAGCCACTACATGGCGCCAGTCTTCTTAGCAGCGGGGGTGGGGGAGGAGTGAAAAGAGCCGATTTACAGCCACGAGGGAATATGAAAGATGCCACGAGGGAATATGAAAGATGGACGTGGCTTCAAGGTGATGAGGTTCCCCTTCCACCTCTGCCATAGGCTTCTAGACCAGGTGGCTGGAGCTGTTTCTTTCTTAACCCCCAGCCTCCTGGACACACAGGTCATTATCCTATCCTCCTTTGGCTTGGTCCCTTTAGCTCAGGAAGGTAGAAGAGATCTGTGCCCGTGGGTCTCCTCGCTTCAACCCTTCTTGTTTCAGTGACATGTATATATTGTGTATCTGGATTAGTGCTGGGGAAGAGAAAAGAGTGGGGTGGGCACAGAGGCCGCGTGGAGCAGCATCTCTCCTGCCTGCTCCTAGCTTGTGGTAGTAGAGAGCAGGCCTCTGTAGCCATTGGGTCCCCCTTCTTCAAAGCTGCTGGGGCTTCTGGGTGCTTCTGAGACCTCTGGTTGAGGGAACTCTTGCTCCTGTGCTCAGGCCACTCAGAGCAGAAGGTGGGCCAGTGGGATGGTTTGTGGGATCCTAAGTGTGGCCAGGATGGAACCAGGATGAAGAGACTGGACAAGGCAGGGAAAATGCCGTGGCGTCCCCCCACCTGGCCTGAGAGCCACTGCAGCCTGCTGTTTTCCTTCTGCTAACCCAAGGAGGGTCCTGAGAAGAAGGTGACTTCCTCTCTGTTTGTTCCTAACTTGCACTGGGGGAGTTTTGACTTGAGCCCCATCTCTCCAGCCAGCTACTGCTTTGTAGTATCAAGTGCCTCAAGCTGGAAGGGGGAAGGGGGACGAGAGTCAGTCTGTCGGTGAGGGCGGAAATCAAATCAGCCCAAGGATATAGTTAGGATTTCTCTATTATGTGCTTGATCCTAAATATATCACACAAAGGGGCACAACTAGAAATGTAATAAAGTTGTGCGTCTAGAAGTTCAAGTCCTACATGGCTCTGGTTTTCTTCTCTTGAAGTTGTTAGCTCTGGGAGGATCCAGCTGGCTGTACCAAAAGCATCCACTTCCTACCTCTGCATTCTAGCTTGGTTAGTGTTTCTTTCTTTTTTTTTTTTTTTTTTTTGAGTTGGAGTCTCACTCTGTTGCCCAGACTGAAGTGCAGTGGCCGCTCCCGGCCACCACAGCCTCGACCTGCTGGGCTCCAGCAATCCTTCCGCCTCAGCCTTCCGAGTCACCGGAATTATAGGCATGCGCTACCACGCCCGGCTGATTTTTTGACTTATTATAGAGATGAGGTCTCGCCTGCCCAGGCGGGTCTCGAACCCGTGGGCTCAGGCAATCCACTCACCTCAGCCTCCCAAAGGTGCGGGAGGGTTAGTGTTTCTAATGTGACCACATACACCTCACCCCAGCACTTCCTGGGGATGGATGCAGCAAGCTGGTTTAACAGTTGGCTGGCCGGGTGCAGTGGTTCATGCCTGTAATCCCTTTGGGAGGCTTAGGTGGGAGGATCGCTCGAGCCCAGGAGTTCAAGGCCAGCCTGAGTAACATAGTGAGACCTGGTCTGTACAGAAAATAAAAAAAATTAGCCAGGCATGGTGGTGCTTGCTTGTAGTCCCAGCTACTTAGGAGGCTGAGGCAGGATTGCCTGTGCCCAGGAGGTTAAGGCTGCGGTAAGATGTGAGCGTGCCACTGTACTAAAGCCTGGGCGACAGGGTGAGACCCCAATTCAAAAACAGAAACAAAACCCAAAACCTAAAACAGGTAGAGGAAGGGTGAGCTCAGCCCTGCAATAGTGACTCACTGGGTCTGGAAAGGACCGCTCAGCCACAGTGCTTGTCCTCCTCTGTGCCACGGACCTTTTCCAAAAGTTTTGAGAAGTAGTAACTCTCCCGACAAAGCTGTTTGTATGCATACGATGTTTCAGGCGAGGGGGTGGGGGGATGGGGGAAGGATGGTCCCAGACTCAGGCTCAGAACCCCTCGCCTTAGAAATTGCTAGTCCGATCTCTTACACGTGAGGACACTGAGACCCAGAGAGGTTCAATCATTTGAACTCAGTCAAGAGTAGTGCTTTTTTGCCTCCACACTCTCAGTACCTTCTTTGATTTTCTTTACTATTTGTTTCAAGGCTAAGTGGGACCCCACCCTCCTGGCCAGCGGCGATGAGGGAAGGCTTGGTCCCCAGGACCCGAGCCCAGGCTTGTTGCGTTTAAGGCTCTGTGGTTACCCCACCATCCAGTCGGAACACTGAGCTCTTCTGTGAGAGGCAGCACACATGAGTAACCAGCCCCACCCTCTGCCCTTCCCGTCCCCAGGGGCTCACGAACCCAGACCTGGTTCCTTTCCACTCACTCCCTCAATAACTTTATTTGTGTCGGAGGGGCGGGGCTGGCAGCAGCCTGGGCCTCATGCGCCCCCTGGTGGGCCTCAGCGGCAGGGACCGGAATCCCAGCCAAACCCGAGGACTTCACAGTCTAGGGGAGGGTGGCAGCGCTCCTCATGCCTGCACCCCGGACCCAACTTCAGGGGACGGGAGGTCTTGGGAGGAGGCCCTGAACCTCTGGCTCTCATACTCGCCCGTGTTGGACGCCCGCATGTTCTGCCGAGCCTTCATCTGCTTCAAACGGTCCTTGTCCACTTCCCGCTTGGTGAGGATGAAGAGGAGGATACCACAGGGGAAGCCGATGGCCCTAGGGGTGGGGAGATGTGCACGGGGTTTGGGGAGGGGCCAAGCCTGAGCCAAAGGGACTGGGGGGAATCGTTACAGCTTCATCAATTGCATGAATGCTGCAATACCTCTTGAATCTATTCGTCCTCAGTGCTGGCTGTTGGAGGGACCTACGCAAATCAGGTCCTGCCGCTGCTCTGTTTAAAGCCCGGTAACAGCTCTCCATCACTTCCTGGCCAAGTCCAAACTCCTAGGCATGGCACAAAAGGCCCAGTGTGGTTGGGTCTCTGCCCATCTCTTCACTCCTTTCCCCCAGAGCCTGATAATCCTCAGCACAAACCCTGCACTCCTATACTTGCGCAGGCAGCCCAGCCTCTTACACCCTGGCAGAGTCTTGACAAAGGTCCCCTCTGCCTAAACTGCCCTTTACACCCTCCCAGACTGTCCTTAATCTGAGTCACTGCTACTTGGAAGGCACTTTGGTGTGGGGAAAAGAGCATGGAATCATAAGACCTGGTGAAAATCCTAGCTCTGAGCCTCAGTTCCTTCCTCTGTGAAATGGGGATGTAATATTTACCTCAGAAAAACTAAGACATTACATGGTAAGGTATGGGCACACCCCAGATACTAAAAAAAATGTTAATTTCCGCCTCCTTTTCCTTTAACATTGACAATAATATGTACTAAGGTCAGTGTCAGATCCTAATAACAATATTTGTAACACCTAGGCACTATTGTACAACTGACATAATCTCAATGAATGAATTACTGAAACATCCTCCCAAAAGGGAGGATGAAGCCGGGGACCCAGGTTTGAATCAGATCAACTCAGTTTATGCCACAGAAAGCCAGTCTCCCCAGTGGGTTCCCCACCTCCCCTGCCCCAGTCCTCTTGAGACTGCAATCCTCAAATCCACCTACGCTGTTCTCACAACTTTGGATTCTGCTCAACCCTTGAAAGTTGGAGCCAAGTTTCTGGGTCCCACCTTCCCCTGGATGCCATTCCCCAATGGTGGGCAAAGGGGTAACTGAAACTTACCAGGCCAGTCCCACAGCTTTCATGGGGTTCTTGCCCCTCTTTCTGGGAATGTACTCCAGCTCAGGGGACAGGGACTCAGGCTCCTCCTTGCACTCTGGGGAGCTGTGGCTTTGCAGAGCCCGGGTCCTGTTCTGGGAAGCCTTGTTAGCTGCGGCTCCTGCGAGAATCCCTGTGAATGGAGATAAGGAAGGTCAGTAAGAGGGGACAGAAAAGAAAGTGGGGAAGGGAGCGGTAAGGGCTGGGGAGAAGCAATTGAGATCTGAGGAAGGGCAGTGGCCGCAGTCTAAGTAACAAGTGCCAGGGAGAATCCAAAGGGACATGGGAAAATCGCCATCGAGGTGGCACCTTTGGAAGCCACTTCCACGTCACTGCGGGCTCATCACCCTGGTGCCCGGAGGGCGAGCTTCGCTGCTCTTCATCTCAGACGACGGGATGGGAAGGACTGCAGTGGGACTCACACGAGACGCATGAAGGAAATCCGGGAAAAGGTTTGAGAACTGCAGGATGTTAGCCCTGGAAGGAGCTTAAAGATAGTCTACTCCCTCCCCTCATTTTATAGAAGAGGAAACTGAAGCCCCGAGGGACGAACTGCTTCGCCCAAGGTCAAACTGCTAATTAGCCGGGGCTAGAACCCAAGCCTCCAGAAGCCCTGGGCTCCTTCCTCTGCACTGCGGTGAGTGTGAAACACTTGGAGCGCGGGGAGTCTAAGAGGCTTTCCCGAGGCTTCCTCTCGTAGCGAGACCCCAGAGGTGTCGTGTAACCCGAAGGCAGGGGGATGGACTGGGTGACCTCTAAGAGCATCTCTTCACCCCCAGACTCTTGAAGATCCTGCAGAGAAGCGTGGACAGGAATCGACAGCCCTGACCTCCTGCTACCGCCGGGCGGGATGCGAAAGAAAAGGGATCTCTAGTGGTCCTGCCCTCCCCGGGGACCCTCTCCTTACCCCGGAGGACGCGGGCATTTCTCGCCCCCCGGCCCTTCAGCGCCGTAGCAGCTACCACCGCAGCCATGTTCAGATCCCACCCCCCTTCACCGCGTTCCCCGCCGGGAATTGTAGTTTGCGTAAGGGGCCTCCCCCGCTCCTTCCGTCCTGCCTACAGACCAGAAACTACATATCCCAGAAGTCCGCGGAGCAGACCCTGGAGAACTACTCTTCCCAGGAGACCCCGGAGGCGCGCACGCTCGCTTGTTTCCCTCTCGTTGTGGGCGGAGTCGTATGGGGCGGAGTTTAGGTTCTCCCCGCCACGCCCCGGCCCCCGTCTTCCAACCCTGCCCTGTGATTGGTGAGTCCGCCAGTCAACCCCCATAGGTATTGGCGGAACGGCCGTCGCTCTTCCTGGTGGGGCGTGGCCTCCGTCTACTTCCTCCCGGGAGGCGGGGCTCGAGTTCCGCGTCGTCGCGCCGAGCTGACTCTGGGAGGCGTTTGGGCCCAGGGAAGTGGTTCGGCCGCTGGTGCCGCATGGAGTCCGAATCGGAAAGCGGGGCCGCCGCTGACACCCCCCCACTGGAGACCCTAAGCTTCCATGGTGATGAAGAGATTATCGAGGTGGTAGAGCTGGACCCCGGTCCGCCGGACCCGGGTGAGAACTGCCGCTCCTCGGACCAGGGGACAGGAGGCGCTCACCCCTGGCCTCTGACCCCTGCTTCTCCCCCTCCCCTCCGCACCCCACCGGTCATTCCTGCCGACATCCTTCTCCTCCCCCCTCCTGCGCCCACTTAGTTCTCAGGCCTGGCTGGGGTGGGGGTTCCCTGACGCCTCCTCTGGCCCTTCCCCTCACACACCCCCTTCCCGTCATCCCCTCGGCCCTCCCTTCCCGCACGGTCGCTGGGCAGCCCCAGGTCCTCGGTCCTGGCCTCGCGTCCTCCGTCCCACAGGCCCCCTCCGCCCTGCCGGCTCTCGCCCCGCTGCCGCCGAGTGTCTGACTCCACCTTAGCCTCTTGCCGCATGACCCGCCCCAGCCTCGGGCCTCCCCACGCTGCTCCCCATCCCTCTTGCCGCCTCCCGAGCCCCATCTTTTGGCCTTCTCCCCAAAGCAGATGATCTGGCCCAGGAGATGGAAGATGTGGACTTTGAGGAAGAGGAAGAAGAGGAAGAGGGCCACGAGGAGGGCTGGGTTCTGGAACCCCAGGAAGGGGTGGTCGGCAGCATGGAGGGCCCCGACGACAGTGAGGTCACCTTTGCATTGCACTCAGGTAGGTCTCCGCGGAGCTGCTCCTCGAATCAGTCCAGGTGGGCACGTGAGCGTTTAACACCGGCCAGGTACAGAGCCTAAGAGGGACACAGAGATGGGGAAGATCCCGGCTTTGCCCTGGAGGAGCACACAGGTGGGGACAGTGTTGTGGCCGAATGGATGAGAGCTTGGCCTCTGGAATCAGTTGAGACACCTAGGTTCAAATTCTACCTCTCCTGCTTACCAGCTCATCTTTATTAACCTCTCTCTGAGTCTTAGTTTTCTTTTTAAAAGCTATGGTTTTCCAGTCTGGGCAGCATAGCAAGACCTGTCTCCACCAAAACTAAAAAAGAATTAATGTGGGCGTGGTGGCACACACTTGTGTCCCAGCTACTTGGGGGGCTGAGGTGGATCACTTGAGCCCAGGAGTTCAGGATTACAGTGAGCTGTGATTGCACCACTGCACTCCAGCCTGGGCGACAGAGTAAGACCCCATCTCCAAAAAAAGAAAAGCTGTTTTTGATCAAAGTTAATGAAAGTAGCCAGGTTATGAATTAGAGCTCATTGTTTTTGAGCATGTTTTATATAATCGTTTCAAACACTGATTCTTAGTAAGAAACCCTTAGCTTGATGCTTTGCCCCGTTTATTTGTATCCAGCCTGGGGCACCCTGTTCTAAGAACTGTTAAGCCCTTGCACACGTGCCCACCTCTTATCCGTGGCACCAGTGTGGGGTGGTGGGGGGAGCAGCACAGTGAAGGGATCTGCCCTGGAGAAGACCTTGGAGCTTGGCAAGTCCGCAGGAGGATTTCTCTGACAACCTGATGCTTGAAGCTTAGAAGAACTTGGGTGTGTACTTATTTTCCCGGAGGAAGGGCATACTGCTTTGACTGAAAGAGGGTGGGCTTTGTGAGGGTTCTGAAGCACAGGACCCTTGTGGGATCCCTGTCCCCTTACCCATGGAATATCTCTTGGGACAGCATCTGTGTTTTGTGTGAGTCTGGACCCCAAGACCAACACCTTGGCCGTGACGGGGGGTGAAGACGACAAAGCCTTCGTGTGGAGGCTCAGCGACGGGGAGCTGCTCTTTGAGTGTGCAGGTGAGGGGCACAGGGAGGCCTGGGGAATGGGTCGTGTTCCTTTGGAGATCTTCGGGGCCTGGTGGGCAGTGGTTGTGCGTCCGACAGCCGTTTAGTGAGCTCTCTTTTGTACCAGCCCTCTGGTGGGCCCCAGGGACACCAAGAAGGAGAATACTGGTCTGTTGTGGGCATGGGGACAGGAGGCACGGATTGGCCATGGGAGTCCAGGCAGAAGTGTGGGGTGGACAGAAGCGATGACAAAGGAGGCCTGGGCTCTGCTTGGTTGAGTGAGATAGCAGTGTCCTTCCGGGGAGACCTGGGGATGCTGGTTCCCAGAGCAGCAGTGAGTTCCGTCACCTGTTCTGGGGCCTTTCACGGGACTCTGTACCAGGGTCATGTGCCCCCAGCACCAGGTGCCCTATTGTTCTCTCCTCTTTCTGGCCACCTTTCTTTGCAGGCCATAAAGACTCTGTGACTTGTGCTGGTTTCAGCCACGACTCCACCCTAGTGGCCACAGGGGACATGAGTGGCCTCTTGAAAGTGTGGCAGGTGGACACCAAGGAGGAAGTCTGGTCCTTTGAAGCAGGAGACCTGGAGGTAAGATTATAAGGATGGGATTTGACTCCGGGGAGCCTTGGGTGGGAGTGAGAGCTTGAGAGGCCAGTCCTATCTTTACTGCACCAAGCCACCTCTGAGCCAGGGCACCCAGCGTGCACCCAGAGCGTCTGTACTTGTTCCCTGGAAATTCTCACAACCCCAGAAGCAGGAAACCTTGGGTAGGACTCATGGGGCAGGTTCCTAGGTGGGATGGGGTGACATGGGTCTCCCTGCTGCCCCTTCCTCTCTGCCTAGTGGATGGAGTGGCACCCTCGGGCACCTGTCCTGTTGGCGGGCACGGCTGATGGCAACACCTGGATGTGGAAGGTCCCGAATGGCGACTGCAAGACCTTCCAGGGCCCCAACTGCCCAGCCACCTGTGGCCGCATCCTTCCCGATGGTGAGGACAGCTCCCCTAAGTGTCCTTTCCTGGGTGCCGAAGTTGACTCCAGGAATATGTACCTCCCTAAGTTCTCCCTGGGCTACAGCCAGCAAACTCAGACTTGCTCTCCTGAGTGTTGACCTCCCAGGCCCCAAAGCCCACAGTGCCTCCTTCCTGAACTTCTGGAATTGGGGTTCCTCTGTGATTCCCTGGGGCAGTGTTTGAGCCCTGACTCTCTGCTTTCCTCTCCGTCCCTGTCCCCTCGGTGTGTCTGAGGGTGCCCTCTGTCCTCTCCTCACCTGCGCCTTGGCTCTTCAGGGAAGAGAGCTGTGGTAGGCTATGAAGACGGCACCATCAGGATTTGGGACCTGAAGCAGGGAAACCCCATCCATGTACTGAAAGGTATCAGAGGTGGGGGCCTTTGTGAAGGGGGACTGAGCACCCGGGCCAGCTCACAGAGGAGGCAGGCCGAAGCCTGACTTGCCCCCTGGCTGCATCCTAGGGACTGAGGGTCACCAGGGTCCTCTGACCTGTGTGGCCACCAACCAGGACGGCAGCCTGATCCTCACTGGCTCTGTGGACTGCCAGGCCAAGCTGGTCAGTGCCACCACCGGCAAGGTGAGTAGACCTGCAGCCTGGCTGGGCCCTCCCCTTTGCCAGTCTTCCCTCCTGTCTTGTTCCTTCCTTTCTGACTCTGCACTCTGCCTCTCCCCACCGTCTTCTCTCGGTCCGAGGTCGGAGGCAGCAGGCCCTCCTCTGATCCTCTCACTTGTAGGTGGTGGGTGTTTTCCGACCCGAGACCGTGGCCTCCCAGCCCAACCTGGGAGAGGGGGAGGAGAGCGAGTCCAACTCGGTGGAGTCCTTGGGCTTCTGCAGTGTGTGAGTGTGAGCCAGGGCCTCGGCCTGGAGAGAGCACTGGGAGAAGGGCTCGCGGGAGGGCCCAGGCTGGGGGCCCCAGGCAGGAGGGCAGGGCACAGGAATCCAGGCCCTCATGCATTTCCGTCCTGCTCTCCTCTGTCCAGGATGCCTCTGGCAGCTGTTGGCTACCTGGACGGGACCCTGGCCATCTATGACCTGTCCACGCAGACTCTCAGGCACCAGTGTCAGCACCAGGTACGGACAGCTAGAGCTGGGATCCTTGTGGGCCGTGGCCATGGAGGTGGGGGCTCCCGAGCATCTGGCCTGACCTGGCTCCTGCTTGGCCCTTGGCTGTGGCCCTCCCTCTGGGAGAGCTGGGAGCAGATGCCCCTCCGCTCTCCCACCCCTGACCTCCACCTTGCCTCTGACGCACCTTGGCGCAGTCGGGCATTGTGCAGCTGCTGTGGGAGGCGGGCACCGCCGTGGTTTACACCTGTAGCCTGGACGGCATTGTGCGCCTCTGGGACGCCCGGACCGGCCGTCTGCTCACTGACTACCGGGGCCACACGGCCGAGATCCTGGACTTTGCCCTCAGCAAGTAAGTGAATTGGGCAAGGATCGGGATCTCTGTGTATTCAGAAGGTGGGATAGCATGGTCCTTGGGGTGGCGGAGGAGAAGGAAGCTGAGACCCAAGGCCTGGTGGCAAGTGGTGAGGCAGGAATGCTGGGAAGCCTGAGTTCACGGCCTCGGGAGTTGTCACTTCTGATCCAGCCCCCACCCCAGTGATTGACAGTGACCAACCAGGGTCTCCCATCTCAGTCACGGGGCGAGGGGATGAACCTGATCCCCCCGTCCGAGTCAGCTCTGTGGCCATCCCGGGCTAGGAGCTTTCCTCCCATGACCCCTTTGCTGGTTGCGTGGAGACGTCAGCACGGTGCCAGGCACTGGGGATCGAGAACTGAGGGTGTGCTGGAGGAGCCGCCCTGGTGCCCTGGTCCCTTCCGCCACGTGCTTTCTGTTTTCAGAGATGCCTCCCTGGTGGTGACCACGTCAGGAGACCACAAGGCGAAAGTATTTTGTGTCCAGAGACCTGACCGCTAGTGGCTGCGCCTCTGCCTTTGCGTCTGGTGTTGAGGGGGATGAGCGGAGCCCCCACCAGCAGCAGAGGCGGCGGGTACAGGAAGAGAAGGGGAGGGGCCTCGGACTACTTTCCAACCCCTTCAACTCACTGCCCCCTCCCTCCTGTTCTCTTTAGAGACCCAGCCCTCGGCCCCTTCCCCCCCTCGCCCAGACCTGGCAGGCCCATCTGAGGGAGGGCCAGACCTGTCTTTCTCTTTCACTTTCATTTGCTGGTGTGAGCCATGGGGGTGTGTATTTGTATGTGTGGAGTAGGTATTTGAGGTTCCCGTTCTTTCCCTTCCCAGGTCTCGGGGGGTGGAAAGGAGGAAGAGATACTAGTTACAGATTTTAAAAATGTAAATAAAATATACTTCCCAGAGACAGCGTTTGTGTGGATCTTGTGGCAGCTGGACGCCGGGAGGAGCAGGCGCGGGCCGTGTCAGGGCGAGACTTCCCCACAAAATCTGTTGGATGTCACGATGTGTGTGCGAACCCTCTCAAGGGATGGTCAGATTGCACGGACAACTACTTGCCTGTCTGGGGTTGGAATCTCCGTGATCCCACGGCTGTCTTGAAGTTCTTTCCGTAGCTGTTCTGTCTGCCTCTGCCTTTCTGAGATAGGGAAGGAGATAACCATACACGGCTGGAGGAGCTTTATTTGGTCAGGGTGGGGTCAAATAGGGACAGGGACTCTGATCCAGAGAGGAGGACCAGTGGAGATGGGCTTGGGGCCTGAGATGGCGGATGCTCTGGCAGGAGTCCGCACAGGCCCTTCCCCTAGTTCAAGTCTGGGTCGACGCTGCTTTGGCTGCTTGTGTGGTAGGCAGTACTGGGCCCGGGCCCACCCTGGGAGCCTCTTCGCCGCAGTCTCTGCAGCCACCTTCGCGCGGCTGCCCTCCAGGGGGCGGTGTAGCGCTGGTCCCCCAGCCCCATGGCCACGGGCACGGCCGCTGCACTGGCGCTGCCCAGGGGGAGGAGGGACAGCAGAGTCCCGGGCCCCAGGGCTGGGCGCTGCTCATAGGCCCGCACTGAGAGGAGCAGGGTGACGACGTAGGGCCCCCAGCACAGCCCGAAGAGCAGCGTGGCTCCGGCCTGCGCCCTTGCCTGCCTCCAGGTGAGGGCCCTGGCCAGGGCTGAGGGCGCCTCGCGGCACACTGCCCGCTCCAGCCGGCGGATGTCCTGCAGCTGGCGGTGGGCGGTGACCAGCACATGGGCAGAGAGGAGGGCGGCGGCTCCCACGGCAGGCAGCAGGAGCCCGTAGACTTCGAGGTAGAGGTAGGGGGCTGGGAAGATGGCCTGGGAGCTGCAGTTGGTGCCAGGGGTCCAGTGGTTCCACCCCAGAGCCGGCAGGCTGGCAAAGAGCAGGGGGCCGGCCCAGGTGAGGAGCAGGGCCAGCTGAGCGCTCCCAGGAGGCCGGAGTGGCCGCAGGACTGCCATGGAGCGCTCGCCGTGCACCAGCAGGAGGTTGGCGAGCAGGGAGAGGAAGGAGAAGTTGGGCGCCAAGAAGAGGAGAAGGCAGGACCAGTAGCCCCGGCGACTCTGGCTCCACAGCCCGGGCAGCATGGGCAGCGCCAGCCCCGTGAGCAGCCCAGCCAGCAGCAGGCTCAGGAAGAAGCAGCCGGAAGGGAGGCTGCGCAGGCGGCGGTCCCAGGCGATGCCCAAGGCCAGGAGCAGGTTGGCCATGACGATGAGGCTTGCCAGGGCCAGGGAGAGCCCCAGGGTCCCCTTGGGGATGGAGCTGGGCACCTCCCCGGTGCTGTTGTGTGTCATCTTGGACCTGGGGATGGGGGAGACCGGGAGCAGCAGCCGAAGTGCCTGGATGGAGGAGGGGGTGGCCAGAGTTAGGATGGGGCTGCGAGTCCCCGTCCTCCGGTGGAGACTGCGTGTTAATCCGGAGGGCACAGACCCACAGACTGCTGACCGTGTTTTGCTTGGTGATACACAGAATTTTTCAATTAATGGCCAATTAAAGATTTATATAAAATTCCTCTTTTTGGTTTATCTTCAAAAATCAGATTGGCAATACGTATGTCCTGTAGGGTGGCAACTGGCCGGAGCTCACCGGTGGCTGCCGTTCAGTCGGTCTCCACCCGGCTGGCTTTGCCCATTTCTGTTATCTGCTTGGCCTCCTCTGGGCAGCTGTGTTTATGCCTCTGTTTAGACGGAATGATGGACCCACTGAGCCCCAGAGCATTTTATGCCTTCCTGCCTCCACCTGGGAGACCTCTAGCTGAGCCCAGACAGAGGTCTGACTGATGTGCAGTGGTTTTCCACGGACATCAGGTGAGAGGTTCTGTTGGGCCAGGTCTGGGGCACAACAGGGTGTCCTGTCCCCTGCACCCTTCCCCCCTTCTGTCCTTGTAGCCGTCACAGCTCAGTGAGCAGCCTCCGGGTAGGACTTCCAGCCCATAAACCTGACTCGTCTCCGCTCCACACTAGCAACAGGGCCCTTCCTGGGACCCGCAGGGAGAAGAGCGGCGGGAGGAGGGGACGCTTGGCCGTGAACGTGAAGATGCTAGCGGCAGGGAGAGGACCCCTCACCCTCAAGGGCTGAAGCGGAGCCAAGGAGAGGAAGGAGGAGCCGGCGGGCAGGCCCTGGCCTCTTTGGCGCTGATCTGTCCCCGTCCTACTCTTCACTTCAGCCCCTGGTCTCGGACCTCCAGGGTGTCCACTACCACCTCCTGGGGCCAAGGGGAGGGGTCCTGGGTCCTGTGGGAACTCCTGCTACTGTCAACCAGAGCAGCTGCTGTTGCTAGGATTAAAGTCAATAAGGAAAGGATTCCTCCCTCTCCTCTGCCGGGCCGGCGGATCAGGGTCCCATGGCCACCTTGAGCAGAGAAGCTTCCCATCCCTTCCAAGGTCCCCCCAGTGCCCTCAACCTGGGCTTCTAAGCTGTCCCAGCTGACTCCTCATCCTCAGTCTCCTCCAGAGCCCTCCTCCACCCCGGGCGTCTCACTCTCCAGTGGCCCTCCGGTTTCTGTTCCCCTTCCTCCCTTACCGTCAGCTTTAGTAAACCCCGTGAGAACCAGAATCTGTCACCCAAAACCTGGTGCGAGCCAGAGCTCCTGGCCCTACCCAAGCGATTTCTCCACCCGACTCCACTGAAATGGTAAGAAGGCAGGGAGCAGCCCCCAGGTATGCTTTCCCAGCAGGATGCTGGCTGTGCCACCCGCATGCCCCAGAGGGTCTGGTGGCTTGGGTTGGGTGCAGTGGCCTCTCCAGGATCTGGGGTGAGGTCTGGAGGTGTGGCCTGGAGGATGGTGGGGAGGGGAGTAGCTACTCACATGGCTGTTAGGGACAGGTGTTGCTCGCCCCGCCTGGGCTGTCCTCTGAGTGTCAGGGCGTTGCTGCAGCCAGCCGGGCAGGGCTTCCGACCCTATCTGGGGTCCTGGCGGGTGAGTCCATGGTGCCTCCGCCCGGTAGGGACAGCGGGTCGGGCTCTCCTACCCAGCACTGCCCTCGCCTGGGTTCCCGGAGGGAGGGATGGAGCAGCCCGGGCTGGCGGGCCTCAGCCGTGGCCCCGCCTCTGGGGGTGGGACCTGGCACGGCCTGAACTGCACAACTGGGAGGCTGCACCCCTCCCCATAGTGTCCCCTTCCCGGCCTGCCACACCTTGCCACCTAGGTGGCAGTTACCCTACCCCAGCCTGGAGCCCTCTGCCTGCTGATGCCCAGCTGATCTGAGGAATGCATTCCAGCAAGTGAATAATAACGACTTGGTCTGCCCCTCCCCACATCCCGCCTCGGCGAATACATTTACATTTATGAGCCTTAAACTCTTGGAGTGGCCAGTCAGCGATAGCACATTCAGCTCCACGCGCCTGTGTGTGACAGTGACGGGGCGAAGTGTTTGGAGCCTGAGGATCTTCACTGTCCCTCCCATCCTATCACCTGGTGGGTTCTGCAGCTTATAAAATCAGCTTTGCCTTCCGGAATCTGGGGTCATTCAACACTTCTACTTTCGGGGCCAAAGTTCTGGGCTATGGGGTATAAATGGCTCTAGGGCTATAACCTTGGGTAAGCTATGATGGGCCTCAGATTTTGCCTATGTAAAACAGGCACAAGAAAAACCACCTCTGCTGGGTGTGGTGGCTCACTCCTGCAGTCCCAGCTCTTTGGTAGGCGGAGGTGAGAGGATGGCCTGAGCCCAGGGGTTCAAGACCAGCTTGGACAACTTGATGAGAGCTCATCTCTACAATAAATCAAAAAATCCGCCGAATGTGGTGGCTCACGCCTATAATCCCAGCACTTTGGGAGGCCGAGGCGAGAGGATTGCTTGAGTCCGGGGTTTGAGACCAGCCCGGGCAACTTGGTGAATCCTCGTCTCTACAATAAAAAAAAATTTAAAAATAGCCGGGTGCGGTGGCTCATGCCTATAATCCCAGCAACTTTGGGAGGCAGAGATGAGAGAATTGCTTGAGCCCAGAATTCAAGATCAGTTTGGGCAAGGAACTTGACGAGACCTCATCTCTACAATAAATCAAAAATTTAGCTGGGCGTGGTGGCACGCATCTGTGGTTCCAGTTATTTGAAAGGCTGAGCTGAAGGTGTTGCCTGAGCCCAGGAGGTCGAGACTGCAGTGACCATGAGCATGCCACTGTATTCCAGCCTGGGCAACAGAGTGAGACTTCGACCAAAAAAATAAATAAATAAATAACTGCATACACCCAATGCTTGGCACTTGATGGGAGAGTGTTACCTCAACAAATGACTCTTTTTCTTTTCTCCTCCATGATGATGAAGAGGCGTGAGCCAGTGTTGGGATCAGAAGGGTCTGGATCCTTTTTTTTTTTTAAAGCTGTGTGAACTTGGACAATTACTAAAGTTGCTTGCCTTGGTTTTCTCATCTATAAAATGGACTCATAATTGCATTCACCTATTGTGAGACTAAATGAGATACTATGTGATGAGGACTTAGCCTGTCACATAGCACTCAATGATACACAGCTGTTTTATTAACATTATTAGGATTACTGTCTTTTCTGCACCTGGCCTCTCAGAAAGACCTGTTGAGGAAGGCAGATAGGGAGCCTGGGAAAAGCGGGCGTGTGAGTGTGTTGTGTGTGTGACACTTTTGCTCTACAAAGAAACCGAGGAAACTAGGTATACCAGGAGGGAAGGGCAAGTCCAAGGCTAGGAAGCCAGATGTTGTGCTACAATTTCCACCTTGTATCAAGTGCAGCTTTGGTCAAGGGAGAGGTGAGAAGCACAGCCACGCTCCCCCAAGGTAGGGTATGAAATGGTGGGGAACAGGCTGAAACTGCAGCAAGAAAGCTGGGGATGAGACACGAGGAAGAACTTCCTGGCTGAAGTGCACAACCAGCTGGAGCAAGGAGACTTCTGTGCTCTCTGGGGAGAGCTGGGCCGAAGGGTTGAAGGCCCGAGGAGCCTGGCTCTGCTCACCCTACACAGCCAGACAAGGGTCCTGGAGAGACAGGACTTCTGCTGGGACAAAAAGTGGGAGGAGGAACGCATTCGGCCTCGAACCCATCCTCAAGGGAGCTGGTGGGCGGGAGGACGCCGGTTTCAGGACTGGCCCTCGGACCCACGCGATCTGGTCGGGCAGAAGTCAGAGGCTCTGGGAGAGTTCAGCCGGGGGCCCGGACAGAAGTGGGTGTGGGGCCCCTCGGAGATGGGACTGCCGAGAATAAACAGACCTCCTTCTGTTCCCAGCCCTGGCCTCCTCCCCGCGGGATTCAGGATGTCTGTGTTTCTTCTTCGCTGCTGTCTAAACACTGAGTGGTATGACGTGTGAGGGGACAACTCGGGCGGTGGCAGCCGGGAGCCTGGGTTCTGTCCCCCGCTCAGCCCTGTTTCTTCCGGATCATCTGGTTCCTCTCCGCCCCTCATTGAGCCCCGGGGGTTGACTCATCCCCTGGCTTCTCCCTTTCCCCGAGGGCTCTGGTGGTTTTCAGATGCTCCATCCAGCCGACTCTGCGCCCTGGACCCCTGTCTCCTTTCCTCAGGTAGAGCCTGTATCGAGGTGACCAATCCAGACCCTGGCATAGCATCCCCTGGGCCTCCTGTGTCCACTGCTGTCCCGTTAGTGCCTCTGAAGGACTCTGGATACAATCCTGTCTTCAGGAAGCCCCCAATTCATCTGTATGGGCAGAAGAAACCCTCTTGGCCAGGCGCGGTGGCTCACGCCTGTAATCCCAGCACTTTGGGAGGCCCAGGTGACAGGATTGATTGAGCCCATGGGTTCGAGACCAGCCTGGGCGACTTGGTGAGACCTCATCTCTACAATAAATAAAAAGAATTAGCCGGGCGTGGTGGCCCATGCCTGTAGTCCCGTCTCCTTGGAAGGCTGAGGCAGATCACCTGCCCAGCAGGTCGAGGCTGCTGTGAGCATGCCACCGCACTCCAGCCTGGACAGCAGAGTGAGACTCCGACTCAAAAAACAAAAAACCGTCGTCCAAATTAGACCCAAACTGCCAGATTCTCCAGGCCTAGGATGGCTGGCTGATACTGACCTTAGGAGTCACAGAAACCGTGGCGCTTCCAGCAGTTCCCAGAAGGGGGCAGCACCGCTTGAATCCAAGATCACCCCTAGAGGAGACCCAAATCCGTCAGTTCTGCTCCAGAGAATGAGAACCAAGAACGTTGGATGGTGACCCCAAGTACCAGCTGTCCCCAAGAAGGCTGATGCAGCAGCTAGCGCAATTTCCTTTTCTTGGTTTCAGCTGTCTCCCTCACCCTGCCAGCCATATCCTTCCACTTTCTGTCACAGTCTTATTTCCTTTCCTGCCAAGCTCTCCTTTCTTAGCTCTCCCAGATCTCACTTTGTCCACCCGCCTGCCTCCTACGGTAAGGTCCATCCAAGTAGGTAAACACTGCAACACCACCTCTCTTGGGGAAAGCCTGGAAAACCCCAAGGATAGAACGAGGCTTGGCTTTTGTTGGACTTGCTTCTGCAGTAGTTCTGTCACCTCTAATTCTCTTAGGGTACAACAGGAACCAAGATTAAATAGCATTAGTAATTATAATTACAGACATTTACCTATTCTTTCCTTTTAAAAACCCTATGAGCCAGGCATGGTGGTTCATGCCTATAATCCCAGCACTTTGGGAGGTCAAGGTGAGAGGATTGCCTGGACCAGGGGTTCGAGACCAGCCTGGGCAACTTGGCAAGACTGCGTCTCTACAATAAATCAAAAAATTAGCCGGGTGTGGTGGCACGCGCCTGTGGTTCCAGCTACCTGGAAGGCCGAGGTGGAAGGATTGCCTGAGTCCAGGAGGTTGAGGTAGCGCTGGCTGTGAGCATGCCACGGTACTCCAGCCTGGGCAACAGAGTGAGACTCCAACTCAAAAACAAATAAATAAAAACCCTATGAGGTAGGTGGTGGTGTGTCTAACTAAAAATGAGGCTATCAGGTTGGGCGCAGTGGCTCAACCCTGTAATCCCAGCACTTTGGGAGGCCGAGGCGAGAGGATTACCTGAGCCCAGGGGTTTGAGACCAGCCTGGGCAACTTGGTGAGACCTCGTCTCTACAATAAATAAAAAAATAAGCCGGGTGTGGTAGTGCACACCTATAGTTCCAGCTACTTGGAAGGCTGAGGCAGAAGAATCACCTGAGCCCAGCAGGTTGAGGCTGCAGTGGCCGTGAGCGTGCCACTGCACTCTACCCTGGGCAAGAGAGTGAGACTCCGATTCAAAAAAAAAAATGAGGCTATCAGATGAAGAAATTTGCTGTCACAGTAGTTAAGGGGTGAAATCTGGACTCAAACTGCCATCTGTCTCCAAACTGTTTTGTTCCTTTACAGCTCATACCCTAGGACACCTCCACATCCCAGGATTCTTGGGGCAGAAGGGCCAATTAGCAGTCATTCAGACAAGATCACTTTTCCCAGCCCACAACCTTCGGTGCTTGACCCTCCTCAAGATGTCCTCAGCCCACAGTCCTATGGCCTGGACTGAAATTACAGGGAGCCTCTTCCTCCCCTAGGAGGGTCCTGAGACTAGGTCCAAGCTAACGCCAAGTGTGTCCTGGAAACAGGTGGAGAAAAAGGAGTGAATCTGGAGAGGGAGTTATGCCAGCATGGGTTTCTAATGCTGACAAAACATCTTGGAATTAGATTCTTCCTTGGGATTTACTGCTGTAAAAATGCTTACTGCCTTTTGGTTTTTCTAACTCCATATTCTCTTAGTAACCTTGGTCTTGTCGTCTACAGAACTTTTCAGAAATCTGATTCCCACTACTGGCAAGAGAACACTGAGTTCCAGCTTGTTATGTTCTAAAGTCAGCAAGAGAGCAAAAACTGAGTGGGGCACAGTGGTGTGCATGTGTAATCCCAGCTATTTGGGAGCCTGAGGCGGGAGGATTGCTTGAGGACAAGAGTTTCAGTACAGCCTGGGCAACATGGTGAGACCCTGTTTCAAAAAAAAAACAAAAAACAAAAAGAAAGCAGCCGGGTGTGGTGGCTCACGCCTATAATCCCAGCTCTTTGGGAGGTGAGGCAAGAGGATTGCCTGAGCCCATGGGTTTGAGTCAGCCTGGGTAACTTGGTGAGACCTCTTCTCTACAATAACTCAAAAAATTAGCCAGGCACGGTGGTGCGTGCCTGTAGTTCCAGCTACATGAAAGGCTGAGGTGGAAGGATCACCAGAGCCCGGCAGGTCGAGGCTGTGGTGGCCGTGAACATGCACACTGCACTCCAGCTGGGTGACGAGGGTGAGACTCCAACTCAAAAAAAAAAAAAAAAAAGCAAGCAAAAACTGCTTCTACTCAAAACTACTGGTGAAAACCCCTTAAGTAACTCATACAGCGTAGATACATATCTCACTCTCTCTCAATATTAAGCCAGATTTTCCATGTACCAGAAGTGGCTGACCAGGGCATTCGGAGTAGCCAATTGGATAACAGGAGCACCCCGAGCTCTCTCAGAGCCCATTTCAGTGAAGGAAAATGAAGTCTGACGACTGAATAACCTGTGGCTTTTGTGAACTCATCCTAGAAAACGTGCTACAAACCTCACTGCTGGATATCACTACAGTCACCTTTGAGGTACTCCCCTTAGGAAGTTATGAACCGCTAGCACCTAGACTACCTGTCAAATCAATTTTGGGACTTTCTGGAATGGCCATCAGAGTTGTTGTTGTATTGCCCTTAATGTCCCGAGTGTCACCAAGATGTCTTCCTTTCAGTATTTCCTTTATCTTCAGGTAATGAAAAAAGTCATGTGGGTGGGGCCAGATGAAATGAGTAGGGAGGGTGTTGTTCCAATAGTTGTTTACTGGCTAAAAACTCGCTCGCAGACGGTGCTGTGTGAGCCGGTGATTGTTTTGATGCAAGAGTTCCTTTGGGGCCATTTGTGTGCACACTTTTCTTATGCCAAGATTTTCAGTTAAGATTTTCCTGTTTCTCTATCCATGTTTATTTGATCTGCTATGCTTGTCACAGTCAACTAATAATTTTGACATATAACTTGATACATTTTTGCAATGTTTTTGTCAGTTCTGGTCGTTAAGAGCATCCTGACCGCATCATGAGTGACGCTTTCTGTCCCCTCAGAAAAACATTTAAACCATTTGTACGCTGCCATTTTCTTCACAGCATTATCCTCATAAACCACCATCCTCATAATATGCCCGATTTCACTTCCACTCTCGCCAAGTTTGATAATTTTTTCTTTTTTGGAGTTGGAGTCTCACTCTGTCACCCAGGCTGGAGTGCAGTGGCACACTCATGACCACCGTAGCCTCGACCTGCTGGGCTCAGGTGATCCTTCCGCCTCAGTCTTCCAACTTCCAAGTAGCTGGAACTATAGGCGTGTGCTACCAAGTCTGGTTAATTTTTTGATTTACTGTAGGGACAAGGCATGCCAAGCTGCCCAGGCTGGTCTCGAACCCCTGGGCTCAGGCAATCCTTTCACCTTGGCCTCCCAAAGTGCTGGGATTACAGGCTTGAGCCACCACGCCTGGCCTTAACAAGATATTTAATGATTTTTTGTTGTTCTAATTCAAACCCTGACATTTTTGTGATTACAGCTCTGATGGCCATTCCAGAGTTCCAAATTGCTTTAACAAGTGGACCAGGTGCTGGTGTCAATGCATAGCTTCCTAAGGGGAGTACTTTGAAGGTGACCATAGTGATACTCAGGAATGGTAGCAGTGTTTCTGGGATGAGTTCGTGAACTTAATTGTCACACCTCGTATGACTTCCAGTAGAAAGACATTTCTACAATCCAGTCATGATGTGTGCATATAACTAAATCATGTTTCCAAATCAATACATACCCTCAACAGTATGATATACTCTGATCCAGTCCATACTATTCTTTTTTTTTTTTTTTTTTTGAGTTGGAGTCTCACTCCGTCGCCCAGACTGGAGTGCAGTAGCACGCTCCTGGTCATCGCAGCCTCGACCTGCTGGGCTCTGGGGATCCTTCCACCTCAGCCTTCCAAGTAGCCGGAACTACAGGCGCACACTACCATGCCCGGCTGATTTTTGATTTATTGTAGAGACGAGGTCTCACCAAGTTGCCCAGGCTGGTCTCAAATCCACGGGTTCAGGCAATCCACTTGCCTCAGCCCCCCAAAGTGCTGAGATTACAGGCTGAGCCACTGAGCCTGGCTCATAGCATTCTTAAAAAGATTAAAATGCTTATATAACACACACACACACACAACCAATGCATGTACAACTGGTAAAATCTGCAGGTGGTTAGACTATCCCAGTGCCATATTCCTGGTTGTAATAGTTGCACGTTACCATGGGAGGGAAACTGGAGGACACACAGGATCTGCCTGTATAATTTTACAACTCCCTGTGAATCAACAGCTACCTTAACATCAACAGGTTAGGAAATGAAAATGCTGGTTGTCATACAGTGAGGTGACGTTACAATTCATTAGTGTGTCTCGGGACAGTATGAAAGCAGGAAGGCAGAAACCACTAGGCGGCCCTCAGGAAGAGGAAAGCAATGAGAAGAGGAAAGCAGGAAGGCAGAAACCACTAGGCGGCCCTCAGGCCATCTCAGGTGCCCCTAAAATTCTCCTTATTATTTACTAAGCAAACTTTCTGAACCATTTCAGGGACCAGTGTCTTGCGTCGGGACTGCATGCTCTGCTAGGCTCTGTCCTGTTTGCTGGGTGAGCATCTCCCTTAGGGCTGGTCTTCTGGACTGCTGTGTGAGAAACTGGCCTGTTGGTCTGTATCAGACTCACACCAAATACCATCAATGTCCTGCAGACCCATACACACCAAGGAATATGCTTTGGGAAATGCTATACATTACTCATGAGTAATTAATACACCAGAAAACATTTTTATTTGTTTGCCACTGTTCGAGGAGCTTCTAGGCCACTCCAGAGCAGCCAGGCAGTCTCATGGACCAAGGCTTACAGGAAGCACATTCAAGTTTATAGCTCATGGGCCAGCCATTCTCTCCTCCAGCAGAGCTGAGGTTCTGGATGTGATGGGCTCCTGAACCTAAGGCTTTCCAGCTCAGGCTTGCAGGTTCAAGGGCAGTACAGGCCTACCCTTCTTTCCTCCTCTTCCTCTCTTTGGACTTAAGAGTCTAGAAACCCAACAGATTCTTCATAAGATAGAAAGATTTTCTTTATTAATGACCTCAACCGTACTTCTTTAGATACAGGAGTTTTGAACTCAAATACTTAGGAGAAAACAAGTTAAGATTGCATTATCCTGCAACTCATTACCAGTAACATATTGCAAAGCGAAACAGCTTGGAAAGGGAGGTGGGGAAGGGAGTGAGGGAGGGAAAATAAAGAAAAGGAATTAAGTTGATCAAGTGGATTTCTTTTTTTTTTTAATTCTTGGGAACTATGAAGTCCTTGCAAGCACAGCTCGTTTCTGCAGATTATTTTCCAAACGTGTACAAAATGGAACCAAAACGGAGAATCCTTTAAGAACCTGAAGAGGTGCAACATTAAAAGCTACGATTATCCAGTAGCAAGTGTTCCAGCCTTCAGTTGCCAGCCGCTTCCTCCTATTCCCGAGAGTTAGCGGGATGAAAACGTCTTCCCCCTTCAAAAGGAGAGAGAAGTGTGAAGGCCAGTTTCGGGCTGCCCTTTCCTCCCACCCCACACTCCTGGACTAGATGTGGCCCCAAAGAGACACCAATCAAGAGCTGGAAGGGGCTGGATTTCCTAGGCACAGACATTGGAACTACAGGGTGTGGGCTAAGCTCTAGCTTTCACAGAAAGGTTCAAAATTGTCCTTCCTACTGAAGAATACCTTAGGATGCCAGGGAATATCTGTGTTAAGACCCTAATGACATTAAATGTACCAAGTCAGACAGGAGAATCACTTGCCCACAACTTCTGGATGGCCTAGATGTACTTTAATTTCACACTGGGCTCAACTGTCTTCCTAGTGCTACCACCTAATTAGTCAGTTCAGGCTCCTCCTACACAGCTTATACCTTCCAGGGCGCCCAGATGGCAGTTGTACTCTTTCACCATGGGGATAAGGGGTTCAAAGCAATCCTCAAAACTCTCAAGATTAAAGGTGTTCTGTTATCATGTGGTAACTAGACTCTGGCTCACAGAACACTTGCCTGGTTCTATGCTCCTGAGTTGTGATGTCCTGTTCCACCCAGTATTTCTCCAGAAGGGCCAGCTGGTTCCCAAAAATAGAACCTATAATTGGTACCTAAAGGTATTTCCCAAAACAGCCTGGAAGCCAGAGTTGAGAACTATAGGAAATCAGGGTAAAAACAAGGGATCTCAATTTTTCCAGCACCGAATGTCTCAACCACCCCAAAGTGAAGCTACACTTGATTACTTTTACCTATCAAATGAAAAGTTCGTGAGTGTTCAATTCTGGGCAGTGCACCGAGGAGTCCTGGCTTCTCCCGCTCAAGCCAACTCATGCAACTCCTACCTAGCACTTGGCAACATGATCTGGTTTTCAGGGTAGATGTAGTAGTTTGTCTCCTGCTTCTCCTTTCTGAGGCCCAACTCTGCCAGAAAGTGGTCACAGAACGGAAGAAGGCAAAGTTGCTCTTTTTAAATCCCAGGAAGGAGGTTTATGCACAGTTTGTTAGTTCTAGGGAGTCATCCCTTCCCAGGCCCTCTATCAGGGGGAGTTATTCCTGCCTCTCACACGACTGCACTCCCCGGGCAGTGACCCCGACCCCAAGACTGCCTACCGGCTGTAGAATAGGGTGGTGGCTACCTGATGGGCCCTCCTCCAGGAGGAACAAGAAATTATCAGGGCCGAAGGGGATGCAGGCAGGCCTGGGACTATAACAATAACTACCCTTCCAATCTGGTTGTTCATCTCCCGGCCACTACTGAACTGCCTCTCCACTGGGCCCTGAATGCATGAGGCTGGCTGCCTCACACTTGAGGTTACCAAAGTAGTGCCTGGTGAGAAAAGCACCCCTGTGAAGAACAAGCAGGGAAGGGGAAACTGCAGACATCAGGATGGAGACCCGATTTCGGAGAGAGAGCAAGAGCATGTGTGTTCAAGGCACACCCCCTTACCTGCCCAGCACACCTTGCTGGTTGACGTGCCTTTTTAAGGACCTGCCAAGAAGCCATAGAGTAGAAGAAACATGCTGCCAATTCACTGCATGGCACCTGGCCACCTCTCTGAGCAGAGGTTGTATGTACAGGCTGAACACCATTCCTCAGGCCCTGGTGGTAGGCACAGAGTGGCTAGAGAAAGGTCTCCGCCTCAAAAAGTCAGGGTGACTTAAACCGCTTTGTGCAAACCCTTCTGTGTTTCTCCAACAACTGAAAACCCCCCTCACCTACTGCTAAGGCACTCAGTCAGACACCTCTCTCTAACATTTGAATGGTAGCAGAAACTAACTGGGTAGAAGAGGCCTCACACACGCCAGGAGAAGGAGCATGAAGTCCTATGCACACCATACACACCAAAGGTTTGCCCCAAGCATCCTGAGTGTTGGCAAGCACGTTTGCTATGAGGGCAGGCTTAGTTGACCTCAAAACTTTTAGTTCAACTGGCACAAAAGACAGCAGATAAACACTTATGGTCGTGAGAAAAGGACTGCCTAAATTTCACCAGAAGGGGAACCAAGACCTGGCACCCGGCGCAAAGATCAAACTCTATAGGCTCTAGGCTACGCTGACGTCCCCTGCATGCACAGTCACACTTGTCTAGAGCTCTACTCATCATTTTCAGCTCTAATAAAGAAGACCTCTCTCTCTACCTGCTGAGAAGCAGACCAAGAAAAAGGACACTCAGGGGCATGGTTACTATTTACTCAACTAAATATCCTTAAGCAAATCACTCCATTTCTCTGGGAAGACCATAAGGACAAGACTGACTTCTCAACTCAGGCCCAAAAAGGAGGACACAGTTTTGTGGTAAAAAATTCTCTTTGTTCTTTTCCTTAGCTGCCATTCTCATAGCTCACAAAGATGTGGAAAAAAGGAAAGTCATCCTGGCCCTTCTTCCAGCAGTGAAAACCTGTTAATCTCATCTGTAGTCTATCTGCTCAGCCCTGCTGGCCTCACATGCAGTTCCTGGCCAGACAGCCGGAGGGGCAAGCCACCAACACCCACAATTTCTCCTTGGCAAGTTCAGGAAATGAAGGTGGTCCTGCCATGGGTATCACCCTACTTACGTGATTGTTTTCATTTCCTTTTTCTCTGCATCTGGGCGTGCACGGTTCAGCACCTTGAGAAAGTCAGATGTTTTTGCCCTCATACGTGTGTGGATATAGGCCTGGCAACAAACACAACAGGTACTGAAGCAGAGTCAATGATCTGGAAAGACAGCTTTACTTTCTTTTTTCTTTCAAGAATAGAAACAGGGTCTCGCTCTGTCACCCAGAGAGCAAAGGTGCTATCACAGGTCAGCGTGACCTCAAACTCCTGGGCTCAAGCAATCCTCCTCCTTTAGCCTCCTGAGCAGCTATCACTACAGGTATGCACCACACACTTGGCTGATTTTTGTATTTTTTTGTAGAGATGGGGTCTTGCTATGTTGCCCAGGCTGGCCTCAGACTCCTGGCTTCAAGCAATCTCAGTCTCCCAAAGTGTTGGGATTATCGGTGTGAGCCACCATGCCTGGCCCAGCTCCGCTTTCATTAGACATTTTCAGGACAGTTTGGGAACATACTTTCCCAAAACTGGGGCCTTGTGTCGGCCCAGGCCCTGCAAGGAAGCAGGAAAGTGAGCAATTCTGGAAACATATATTCATCCATCTGCCCTGGGGAAGGGTGGGGGAAAGCGGCTCCATGAAGCAAGTCCGTGATTTCCTCAAGCCTCTAGAACTATCTACCTAAGAGTCACAGCCACCACCGGGACTAATGGACTTTTTAATGAGCTCTGGTGGAAAGACAGACCCAGAGCATGGGAGCTGAGATGCGGGCACTCCCTCACCTTAGAGCACTTGATGTGGTAGTGCAGGTAGTCTCGGAACGTGTGGATCAGGTTGATGGTGTTGTCTCGAGCACTGGCATTGGTGTGGCGAGGGAACAGCACTGAGGGAGGGGGAAACAAGCAAGGTGTCAAGGGGTAACATGAATGCCAAAGGGCCGGGAAGAACAGCAGCCTACAGCCAACTTCACTATCTCCCTGCTTAAGTACAATCCACTGTTTCAGTATTCCCAGGCTTTGTCAGGGTTTTGTTTTTGAGACATGGCAGGGATAGATGGCACAACCAGGGGAGGTGCCAATGAATACAGACAGAGGAGCGCATGTTAGAAAAACAGAGCTCAGCTCCAGGTCTGGTCTGCATTCCAGGTCTAGATCCTGCCGCTATGCATCCTGGAATCCATTCCCTATCTGCCACACACCTACTAGCCCCTGCCTCTGTGGCTCGGCAGATTCCAGGGTGATATTAAACAGCTATCTGGGAACATTTTACCTTAAGGGACCAAGATCAGAAAACACAACTACCCTGGTTCTTTGGTGCAGAAACAGCATGAGCCTTCAGAGAAACTAGATGCCAGAGAACACCCTACTTTCTTGCTATGAAAACCAAACACTAAGGTACGAGGATCTGAATGAACCCCTCTTGGCAGGTCAGGCAGAAGGAGTTTTTGGGCTGGAGCTGAGCCAAGTCCGTCCTGTGGCATCAGCCACCTGAAGATCAGTGCAGTTGTCGCTCAGTCCTTTGTGCTGGAGTAGACTGCACTCCGCGCTACCTCTGGGCTCTCTGCAGTCTTCTTATCTGTTGTACCTTCATGACTCACCGGCCTCACTAGCTGCAAAATCCCCTGGTTTTCTTAAGTTCTGCTGAATTAAAAAGGAATGCTTCCTAAGAAAGGTGGGATTTCTGGGTTAGTTTGTTCTGGCCTGAAGATAACTGTATTTCAAAGATCCCAAGGAGCTTATGTCTGCCATAATTTTATGAGAAAGTATTTTTAAGAGAAAAATACTGCCAGTTAAACTGTGATGTGCCATGAGCTGTAAGATGCACCTCAACTTCAAAGATAAAAGTGTGCAAGAAAAGTAAGGCCAACGAAGTATGGTACATCAACTTATCACCACTAAACAGGTACACCTCAGCACTGAGGCTAATTAAATACAACTTCATAAAAGGAAACAGTCCAGTGTGCGAATAAGCTATTATTCCAAACCGTCAGCTACAATAATCTGCCAGCTCATGAGGCTGAAACAACTAAAAGGAAGGAAGACTTGAATGTCTTCAGTGTAAAAGTGGAATGGGTGAATCATGGCTGGAGCTTGGCTTAGTAAAAATCTGAGAAATGCCAAATGGCAACTCCCATACAGTTGCTTAGCAATGCTTATATGGCTCTATCTCGACATCAGAGTTCAGTCAAGATTTTTCCCTAAGAATGGGAAAAATAGGGGGAAAAAGGAAATGATTACCTCACAAAAACAGCATATGGCGTGCTCTGTAATTAATGCCCAATGACACTCTCCTGTAGTCACAGCATGGCAACAGAAGCAACTTGGTATGCCTGCTTTTGCCCACTTTAAAATGTGAACCAAGGTTCTATGCAGAGTTAGGCATCGTGCAGTGCGAACTCATTAAAGCCACATGACAGTGGCAAGTGCATCCTGCTCACCGAAGGTAATGTAGCCGATGTTGTCGCCCACAGCGGCATCCGTGTCTTTCAGCTCCAGAGGAGGTTCCCTGTGGCTAAAGAGGACCTGTGGGGCTGTGTGGCTGGCTCTGCGTCCTTCTTTGAACTCCTGCCAAGGCAAAGCAAAAGTAACCGGAAGAGACTGGGTGTAAGACCAGTGGCAGCTCATGCTACGGGGTTTGCCCTATGCAGTGTGACCTTTGCGTCCCTCTGGACCAGCAGATGGTTACAAGAAAACCACACCAAACCCAAAATGTTACAATTACTTGTTGCTATCAGGCACTTCAGATTCAAAAGGGAGAGACTACTAAGTACTTCACAAATCAGATCTACAAAATGTGATGAAAAGCACTGTTAATCCAGTTCCCTTTCTCTTGTTTTGGACAAGAGATGATGAAGTACCACACTTTTTCTGGATATTTGCACAAGTCTTCTTTCACTGAGGTTATCTTAGATCTGGTTACTATTTATACCAGCCTGGGTAATATGGCAAGACCTCATCTCTGCAACAAATTTAAAAAAATTAGCTGAGCATGGTGGGGTATGCCTATAGTTCCAGCTACTTGGAAGGCTGAAGCAGAAGGATCGCCTGAGTCCGGCAGGTTGAGGCTCCTGTGGCCGTGAGAGTGCCACTACACTCCAGCCTAGGTAACAGAATGAGACTCCAACTCAAAAAATAAACAAAACAAAAACAACAACAAATCTTCATTAAAAAATATACCTCTCATCAAACTACAGAAAAATGACTGAGGATGTAAAAATCAGGCTATTCTTTCTAAGTTCCAATCTCTAAACCTCAGGCTTCTACAGTCCATGCATTCCTATGTAAATAGACAAGTGATACAAGGCACTCTCTCAACCAGATCTGCAAGAATAGAACTAGATTTTCCAGCCATGCCAGCAACACCAGATAATTCAATCCATCAAGTGGGCCTTTTCTTTCCTTTTTTTTTTCTTTTTTTAGTTGGAGTCTCACTCTGTCACCCAGGTTGGAATGCAGTGGCCGCTCCTGGCCACCGCAGCCTCGACCTGCTGGGCTCCAGCGATCCTTCCAC